CCCCCTAGTCCTCCCCTTTCCCCCCCCTCCCCCCTCCCAACAATTCGCCCTCCTTTGTAACAGTTGGTAGACTGTCGTAGGGTCCGTAGGTAGCAGGGGTTCGATCTGTTGACCTGTCGAGTAGAAGTCTTAGGGAGTTCTAGGAGTCGTAGCTGTAGAACTTCTGAAAGGTCAAGGTCGTAGCTGCTACAGTCCTGAAGGGTCAATGTCGTTGCTGCTACAGTCTTCGAAAGGCCAGGACCCAGACTTCTGGAAGGTCCTAGTAGTGGCCTTTCGAAGTTGCTCACATTTAGGCTGAGGCAAGTGGGCAAGTGGTGAGCCCAACTGCAGTACGTCGGCGGTGCGACTGCATCGAGTTGGCAGTGCAAACCCATGCAGTCAGCGATACCAGTCCCAGTCAGTCCTAGTCCAGTCAAGCAAGTACCATATGGGATTGTGTGCACCACGGGCATGGGAAAGGGCGAGACCAACGAGCTACAGAAGTCTAAATCAAAGGGCAGCGTCCAGCCGTCCATTCATTCCTGCGTAAGCCATGCGGAAGCGCTGCCACAGCGACTTGTGCGAGGTGGTCTGCAGTGAGCCCGAAGACGAAGTGGGCGAGAAGGAAGCTTAGCCATAGCGATAGGGTGGCAGCAGCCATAGCCGCCATAGCTGTAGATGTGTGCGGGTGTGTGTGAGTGTACAGAGTGTGATGCGTGTGGGATATCCAGGGTGATCCTGTGTTTGAACAGCAGTGTTGAGTAAGTGCCGAACAGAGAGTGGTACAGGCGATGTGTCGCCATAGCCGTTTGAAGTGAACTTGTATCTGAGCTGCGTTCTTGGTACTATATCTCTAAGTTTTGTGTGGGCGCTTGGCGCCAGTTTGCTGCACAACCTGTTTGTATGCATGTGAAGTGTGAATGAAAGCGAGTCTGATTGCATGCCAGTGCGAGAAAAGGCTGAGATAGGATATAGTAACACACCCTAACCCAGAGGCCAAAAAACTGGAGTGGCAGAACGCACTCTTCAGTCACGATGCATGTACAGGGAATGACCTCCTCTCTCACCTTTTCAAGCTCTGATAACTTCAACTGATTCTCCATCGGTGGGGGTCACCTTTGTACAGGGCCTATGTTGGCTTTTTTAATATTGGATGGACTATGAGGCGAAGGAGGAGGTCCCGAAGAGCTGGAAGAAGAGGTTTGCAGGCAGGTTAAAGCACTATTACCTTTCCCGCGTGGGAAAATAGGGAAAACTAGCAGTTTTCCCAAACTCCTGAATCTTTGGAGGTCGGGTCCGACGACGACTACCTTGGACAAATCCGATCGGCGGCCGTCATGTCGTTTCGGCCTCTGGAAAGGTCGGATGCCTACCCGAGGCCCGCTATTTTCCCAGGCGAGAAAGGTACTGGTGGTGAGGCACGAAAAGACGCGGAGAAATAACCACCGTCAGAGTTGCGTACAACAAGGAAATGAATAATTCCCCGAAGGCAGTGCACATCGACTAGTGAGGAAATGAATTGGACCGTGCCTGCAAGGGCAAGATGATTCATGTGCAAGATAACCCCATCCGGAGCCTTCCCTGTGAAAAAAAAAAACAATCCCATTGAACCACCAGGACACCGGGGCCTGGAGGCACTCCAGTACGTGTCAAGCTTTACCGAACCGCCAGCAGGAATGTTTGTTTCTTTTTTTGGCTGGCACCGCCAGCCATTGTGGTCTGGAAAGCCCGAGGCACAATTTTTTTGCAGTGGGGCTGGGGCCATGTACGGGCGGTTTAAACTCTTAAAGGTGCGACACTAAAGAGGAACCGTATGAGGAGTGACGAGTTTGGCAGGTAAAGACAAGCAGAGGCTCAGAGAGAGAGAGAGAGAGAGAGAGAGAGAGAGNAGAGAGAGAGAGAGAGAGAGAGAGAGAGAGAGAGAGAGAGAGAGAGAGAGAGAGAGAGAGAGAGAGAGAGAGAGAGAGAGAGACTTACTCTCTGTTTCTTTTGCTCTTTGCGCATTGCTCTGTCCCGTTCCTCGAGCTCTTGATTCTCCTTCTCCACAAGGCGAATGAGGACATCACATCTCCTTGCGAGCTCCTGCGGCGTTCTCGACTTCACATACCAATCAAACCTAAAAAATGGATGCGTCCGGAACACCTGCTTCAGCTCATCCCAGTTCCCGTAGCCGAGTCTGTGCACCATGCAGAGCTGCAGCATCCCAATCATCATATCATAAAAGAGTGAACGAACAGAGAAGATTAGCATTGCCCCTGCGCAAGGATGACACCCATCAGTCAAGAAATGGTCCAAAAAAAAAAAAAAAAAAAGAGTGAACGAAGATCAGTGCAGACACCCCACAACACTTGCACAAGTTCCAAAGCCAAGTTTTGTCCACTGTGCAGAGTCGAATCCCCCAATCAAAGCCGACACCTCTTCAGTGGCTCCACCACCAGTTGAAAAGGGCCATCAGCAGCATCATGCATCCCAGAAGAGTCCAAAAACCAACACTTGAACCTGAGGCATCAACCTCTCAAAAATTCAAAATGCTTTAACAAAAGGGTGAACTCTTTAGCCAGCATAATTGAACCAATGAATTCTTTTTATTTTCTTACATTTCCTTTTTTCCCATAATTGAACGAACGAATCTCCTTGGCAAGCATAATTGAATCAATGAATTCTCTGAATTCTAGAGAATTCTAGAGTGGACCAAAGAATTCTCTGAATTCTAGAGTGTCCACTTAGAAACTGTATGGCCACTGGCTTAAAAATGAATGTATACTAGCCATCTTTCCGGTTCGGTACAGCCTTAATAAGGATGTGTTGTATTCAGGGGAAGACAGTAGATATGTCAATGCTGCAACAAGTTTCTGCCTCATCATCTGTATGGTACACACCTTCATACATAGAACAAGGGTTCGATCCTTAAATCGCTCAAGCAAATTCCATGATGTTGGGGATCACCCCCTTGCCGTTCCTTTCTTTCTGGAAAACAAGTCGGGTGATATCTGGGGTTCTTTCGGGAACAGAAGGTGGGTGTAGCCCTCGAGACGATATCAGAGGTCATTTTCGTCCTGTTCGTTTCTTTTTTTGGGGAAAAATGATCAGCCCTTGTGCCACCACCAGCTCCAAGCCTCCTTTTGCCGTGGCGGGTTTATACAGCGCAGCAAGTTCAAAATGCAACGATGCAGCATTCATTTTCCCCCCCCTTTTTTGGCTCGTGCCGCCAGGCAAAGTGACCTTGAGGAGGCCGAACCCCTGAAGAATGCGGTGGTAGACAAATCGGTCGCAAAAAGTTTGGCTATTAAATGTAGTGGTATAACATGATATTGGGGTTTTGGGGATCACCCGGCTCGCTGTTCCTTTCTTTCGGAAAAAATAAAGGGTATAGCCCTTAACCTTATTCAGGCTTATTGCATCCATCTGATTCAGTTGGGATTCGATGTCGCGGCCCCCTGTTTCTTTCTCAAATTCACAAACATTGGGTGTTCGCGTCCTATCGCGGTCAGCGAGAGTACTAAATTCTGCAAGCACCAGCAACCATGATGTGCTTTTCTGAAAAGAGTCAATTTTACATCAAAACACACTTTTGTCTTGGGGTTTAAAGCCCCTTTGATTTATTATTATTATTATTTTTTTTTTCCCGTTGGTTTATTTAGTGTCCACTCTATGGACTGGTGACAAGTCTGCCTTAAACGGTGTGGGACGTTTGATATAATGACCCTGAAAAATTCATAAAATCCTGAAATTTTGGAGCTCTGTTAACCGGCTCTCTTTATTTCCCCCCTCCCTTATACCTCTCCCACCGACCCCCTCCAACACAGAACTCGACCACCACATTTCATAGTTATTTCCCCCCTTATACCTCTCCCACCCACCCCCTCCCCCCCGGCCACCTTCACCCCATTCCTTTACTCTCTCTCTCTCTCTCTCTCTCTCTCATAGTTATTTCCCACCTTATACCTCTCCCTGAAATGGTTTCACCCAGTAGACCCGACATTTGCAGACAAAGAGATTCGATCCCTAGACCTGTGCCCAAACCCTGTATATTGACCCTGTGTGCTGAGTGAGATTCGATCCCTAGACCTACCCTGTACCTTGTACATAGGCCCAGCGATCTGTGTGAGACTCGATCCCTAGGTCTGTAGATTAGGAGTTAGGTCTGTTTAACTCTGTTACCTTTAGGCTTAGGAAGGTCTGTTCTAGAAGTCTCTATCTGAGTCTACTGAGGCCTAGAGTCTGTCTGTAAGTCAGTTGGCTCTAGAAAGTCGTACGTCCCTATAGGCCAGTCCAGTCAGCAAGTACCAGGGCTAGGGGCTGCACGTGGGGAAGGTTCTGGACCCCGCTGTGGGTTCACACGTTTTGGCCAGAAGGCCAAACGTCTGGAAGCTTCCCTGGGCCACACGTTTTGGCCCACGCCCACACGTTTTGAGGCAGGTCTGGGTACCTCCGAAGAAGTATAAATAAAGAGGCAGAGTCCAGCAATTCATTCATTCGCCGGTGAGCCATGCAGAAGAGCTGCCTTGGTATCTTGTGCGTTGAGGTCTGCAGGTGCCCGGAGAGGAAGTGGGTAGCGAGGAAGACAGCGGCCATAGCTGGCCAGTGAGGAAGACACTGGCGGCCATAGCTGTGAGAAGGAAGACGACAGCGGCCATAGCCGCCCAGCTGTTGGTGCAGACAGAGTGTAGACAGTGTGTGTGTCTGTGCAGCGTGGACATTCAGGGTGATCCTCGTACGTGCGTGCATGTGAGAGTGAGGGAGAGTGAGGCTGGTGGTAGAGACAGTGTTCGGCAGCCATAGCCGCAAGTTGTACAGTTGATTCAGACTGAGTTTAATACAAGTTCATTGTTGTTTCTGAGTTGGAAGAGTTTTTTGCCATCGGTTCTCAAGTGTGCATATTGCAAACAAGTCCAGAGTCAAGTCTGATTGCATCCCACCCACCCTCTCCCCCCCTGCCACCTTCACCCCATTCCTTTACTCTCTCTCTCTCTCTCTCTCTCTCTCTCTCTCTCTCTCTCTCTCTCTCTTCTCCCTGAAATGGTTTCACCCAGTAGACCCGAC